TCAGAAACCAGCTGATCATGGTTTTGACTGTCATTATGTAGTCCATACTCACAAGAGCGTACACTTATCTCAGATTGAATCCAGCTGTTCTAATCCACAACTGGTGGGGGATGAACCAAAATAGCTGAATAAACTTAGCCAGTCTTAGAAGATCCAACATACTCATGTGGTCTTGAATCTGTTCAATAGTGTATGAATGTGTGCTTCAACTTTGGTCATGTACTGACAGCCGTGAGCTCCCACCTGACTTTTCTGATTGGTTACAGATAAGATGCTTATCACTGTGGCTCAAATGTAATGCTTAGACAGGAGACACAAACTGGGACTACTTTTCAGGCTGCTATGAATCAGTATGTCCAACAGGAAAGGATATACACTAAATGTATGTACATACAGAACATACAAAACTAATTTGTGAAAAATGAAATTATGAAATGTTATTTATTGGTAAAACTACTGTTGTTTGTGTATGCGAGTAGATGCATAGTTGTTGAATGAAGGGAATAAATATTCTGTATGGATGACAGATCAACCATATCCATTGCATTCCAATAACTTTAGCAGTCTTGATGAAATACAGCATTGATAGTTGACATTTCTGATTGTTCTGAATGATCTTTGTGGTTATCTTATGAAAACATCAGCTGAAGTAACTTTCATTTTGAACACCGTTTTTATTTGACTGAAGTATGCTCAGTGTGAAATTTTTTTCTGTTTATTTATTTTGTTTGGATGATGTGTAGTAAATAATGATGTAAGACTATAAATAAGTAAGTACTGTGATAAGTATTGTGCCGTGCTGTTGCTGTGACCCCCCCAATAAAACCTCTGAAAAATTGTGTTTTTTTTAGTTCTGTTAATGCATGTTAATTTATTATAATTCATCAAATTGTTTTATAATCTTTTTAGGCAAACTTTGCAGAAGTCTGGAAAGTCTTTTTCTATAACTTTTTTTTGAGGAATTGGGTCCTTGCTTTGTGATGTGAGGTTACTTCAGTCTGGTATTTCTGAGAAAGTGATGCATTCATAATATGTTTATTTTAAGTACCTATAGCAAGGCTGTTATGAGAATTTTAGAAATATTGTGCACTTGTTTTCAAAAGTCCCCCTAGAAAAAAGGAACAAATTTGACTTTTTTTTTTTTTTTTTACATGATCAGTTTGCCAGTTTTAGTTTATATTTTAAAAACAATTGTTGAACTCACAATAATCAGTGAAAAAAAACCATTAAATCAATGCAGCCGCATGAGGGTTGTCATTGTGTTCTATGTCATAGGTTTATACCAAAGACAAAACTAGGAAATCGCATATAGAATTGTGTAGTAAACAAAGCAATCTATGTTCTAAATTTTATATTCTTCAAAGTAGTCACTTTATTTTGATGACAGCTTTGCACACACTTTGCATTCTCTCAACCAGCCTTAAACCAAAAATCCCAAATTTTCACTCATCAGACCCTAAGTTCTCTAATATGAGTTGCTGTTAATTGGTGATTTCTGACTTTACATTCACACTGATCCGCCAAAAACGCAACTCCCTGCTGCTAATCCGGATCAGATCTGCATGAACTTGGTCTTGTGATAGACATTGCCACCCTACATACTATATGTGTGTCAAATTTCAAACAAAAATGATTTTGATAACTTCTAGTGGAAATGTGACTTTAAAAAAATTGCCCCATGTTAAAGATAGAATTTTGTGATTTTTCTTTTTTTTTATTAATTTTTTTTTGTTTTTTACCTCTGCCAAGGAGGTCACAAAAATAAAAATTCCCATCTTTAACATGGGGAAAAAATAAAAAATCTCTGGAGGTACATGCACTCTCTGAGTGTTCATGTTCCATATGTGTTACAGTTTTCATGTCTTCAGTAATGTATTGTACAATTAAACAAGAGCACTCAAGAGTGCATGTTCCTCTGCCAAGACACAACATTAGCTCACGCAAATGGGTCCCTTGTTAAATATGAGAACATCATAAAATGTGTCTTAAAATCCTTCATGCAGATAAGATCTAGATATGTTTTTAGGGTATGATAGTTATACTGCGCATCTTATGTGAACATTTCATGCTTCTATCTTCATCATAGGCAAAGTTATGACAGAAAATGTGTTGAAAGGGGCTTTCAGTGTAAACTTTAAATGGCTGTCAGATCTGGAATCCAGATCAGATCCAGTTGAAATTTGGTCTGGTGATAAATATTGCCCCATGTTAAAGCTTGGGATTTTTTGTGGGATTTGTTTTGTCATTTTTGTGACTGTGGCCTTTGACTTTTTTTCAGCCAAGACCGAATCACCTCTAGAGTCAGTCCCCACCAATGTCTGTACAAGTATACTGATGATCCATCCAGCTGTTTATCACACACACACAAAACACAGAGCCAAAAACATCATGTCCTTGGTGGAGAAAAAAAAAAAAACGGAAGCAAAAATAAATCAGAAATGAGAAGGTGTGTCCAAAACTCACTGATACTGTACATTAGTGACAATGTAACACAAGTAGGCCACAGAGGTCTGGTGCTGTACGCTGACTTTTTCTAATGATCCCAAACCCCCAGATTTTCGCTTTTCAACCTTCAGTCCCAGCCAATGTTGCCTCAAGTGATATCAGTTGTGGACATTTTTTATACTTCAGCTCTCTCTGGAGTCACAAAAGCAGTGTTTTTTCAATTACAGAGGAGCTAGGGGGCTTATCTCACCCGAAAGAGATCCAACCTCCCCTAGCAGCAACAAAATCTTGAGTTTGAGAGTGGATAAACTCTAGTTATAACTGAATGTCTTGTCAACTATAATTTACTGTTGGTGCGTCACACTGGTCAGTGCAACCAACTGTATCTGCTGTCAGTATTGCCTGTAATATGACTTGTCCAGGGTATTTTTTATTTGTTCATGAACAGCTTTTATATTATTTTGTGCACCTATGTATAATTATTGCGCATGGATTTTATAAATTAATTCAAAAACAAAAACAAATTAGTTATGAAACTAGAAACAGGCCTAAATTTCTTACTAACCAGTGAGCTTTTTTCCCATTGTAATGTTAGAGAAATTTTAAATGCCACACTGGTCATACTAAGGGGTCAACTCATGATTTACAACCTCTGGTGGGGTTGTGGTTGTACTGGGGCTGGTGAATGGGAACAAAATATACTTCACTACAACCTTCAAAACCAGATAAACTGCTCATTTAACCAGTAATTTCTTTTGTAAAAAGATATTTTTACAGACCATCTTAAACAACAGGCAGACTTCATGGAACACTTCTGCATCACTTCCATTTATACATTTTGGTTCACATTAATGTAACTTCAGGTTTGGAATCATTTGGGAGTGGCTAGTTAAGTATGTCCACACACAATCAGCTTGACTAAAACATTTGTAATCTTGTAGACATTTTTACAACCTTGGTTGACATCCCCATGACTACAACATTCATGGGGATGAGGCTCCAAGGAGAGGGAGGGTGTAAAGCTGTCTTTTAGCTGAAACAAAACAAACCATCAGCTTAGGTCTGGGGCACGTCCTAGAGTCTTTCTTGCCTCTCAAAACTTTGGAAATCAAAGTTTATTAATTATAAATATTCTGACTTCCTCAGGATAAACATCTCTTCAAAATGTCTACTTTGGACTTGTGGGCACTACACAGTGACAAACACCTCAAATGAACTTATCGATATCCAGTAAAATAACACCCATTCAAAGGCCCAAGTTAATGGCAGACAGCACCTATGGAGAGAGTCAGAGAATAGCTAAAAGTTATCAGATAAATGTTGAGATAAAAACATCAGTATTTCCCTAAATATGCTGATAATGTAAATCAAGTGAACAAATGCATGTAGTCTTTGGCAGATGTGCTGAAAAATAACCTGTGAATTTCCATCTGGAAAAGTTATCAGTGTAATGGAGTTTAAATTGTACTGTTGGTATAGTATGGTGTGAATGAAAATCACAGAGTATCTGGCCATGTTACTGTGCAGCATGAATACACATGCTGTTTTGAGCTAAAAACTTACTTGGTCATTCAGAGAATTGAAACAAAATGGTACCTTTTAATCGTTGCAAGTATTACATTGCTATTGAAAAGAACTATCCATTATGATGGAAAAAGTTTACAAATGTTGAAGCATACAGTCTAATGAATAAAAACATTTTTACAAAACAAATTACTAGTTA